ATTATGGTAACTATCTGTAGGTTCCTGCCTAAATTTGCTCTGAAATTTTCAATTGCTTCTTTTCTGTGTTAACAGTGGACTTTACCAATGGTGGAGGGGGTCCTGTCAAGCTGAATGGAGCCAGAAAGGATGGTGATGAGAAAACACCGTAGACAGGTAGAAGTCATGATCCGGGACTCAGGCCGTGGCTGGTGAGGGAGTACAGCAGAGCACTGAAAATGCTAGGTGCTCAGCCTATCAAGGGAGGGACTTAGACCTTAACAAGCACAATGGACAGCTGTTAGTGGGGTATGTTTGCCACCCCAGTGCAGGACCTACTTGCTGTTGCAGAGTTTGAGGCTGGGGGTATACTAACTTCTTGGTGCATTCTATTTTGTTCTTCTTGATAAATTGGTTTCACGGATAGAGATGGGGGTTGCACTGCAAGTGAAGCTTCCCTTTACTCAGCTACAGGGAAGAGGCGCATTTAACAAGGTGGTGCTATTCCTCCACAGCACAAAATCTGAGAACTTGCAGAAGAATTGGAAAATCATGGTTCTTATCTATAATCAAATTTCCTTTTCTTCTGTTTGCTAACGTGAAATAATTTCTTCGATTTTCTGAATCTTTCTGTGAACTACAGTGCTATTCTGCGGATACTCTCGTCACTTTTTCTTTCTTTCCATTTTAATTTTTAAATTAAAAAGAGAATTACATTAAAATATTTCCATGGTAGCAATCATTCATTACATCTTGGTATTTACGTAAAAACAATTCTAACAGATGCTACCCTTCCATGAAGAACTCTGGATAATTTTGTATTCTGCTTGTCAACCTCATCGTGGTCAGTTAGGTAGGGGAAGAAAATGTGATGGCAAGGCATTTTATCCTCCCAAAGTAGGATGTGCACCCACTATTTACCCCATTCCAGGTCTTCATTCTCAACGTGGGATATATTGTGGTATCTTAAAACTGTCACGTACAGTCTGCAAGGATATAAGTAGTGACTTTAAGTACACATATGTCACTTTAATGGTTAAATTTAATTTCTTGGAGATAGGCAAACATTTAATTATTTCATATTTACATACTTTATTCTGAACAGAGAAGACAAAAATCAATCTTTATCTCCATTTTTTAAATTTATTGTTTAGCATTTCTTAGTAAGGATAAATGACCACATTTGTTAAGGAGCTCGATTGAATGTGTTCAGTTTGTTACATACAGCTATTTGTAAGTATGCAGAAACCAAATAACATCTGAGAAGTAGAAATCACTTTTTCCAGTGCAGTATTTTTAATTATGTCTTTTCACCTGAGCTCCAGGGCAAAAGTTCCATTTTCTTCCTGCTCATTATTAATAGAACCCACAGGACGGGGTTTTCTAATTTCATATTTTTAAGTGAATTTAGCTTGCAAAGTGTTCTGAAATGACATTAGTTATGTAGTTAAGATAATACCTCGGTTCCGGAATTTCTTTGCTTCATACAGATCTTTATATCTGACCTAGATAGACTGCCCTCTTTTCATATGAAATACTTACTCCTACCCTATCTGCACGTTACTGCGAGTAACTTCATTGTCCTGATGATTACGTTTGTACCTTAGGTGTATTTGAGACATAGAACAATTAGGTATTTTTGGTTTGTTTGTGTTGAGTGTAATATTTGTGCACCACACAGACTTGCAAGCATTTTGAAATTAATTAACCTGAACAGAATTGAATTCATTGGCCTAGGTTCCTTAATAGTATCCTGGCTGAGACATTAAATAATAAATGAGAGGAACACAGGAGTGGGGGAGTTCCAAGGAGACAGAACGAAGGGCTGGGCCTCCTGAGTTTTTATTCCCCATCCTGCCATTGTTCAGTCCCTCTGTGATTTTTGAAGCAGCCGTTCTGCTTTTGTTTTCCTGGCTATAGCATGAGAGGAATAGCAAGCCCAGGCTAGGGCAGTGTGAATGCCTAAAATGTACTTTGAGAGCCTCAAGTGAAACATACTACGCTGCATGTGGAAATTATTATTAGTTCATTCTTCATGCACTTTTAGTCCTTGCCCTGTAGGCTCAGACTGCCAGCCAAGGCACCAATTACTGTCGGTGGGGCTGTTGGTTCTTATGATGTGAACACCTGTCCTCCAGCAAATGAACTGAGATAATACATACCAATTTACTAGTGTGTCATATACCCTACAAATTGAATCTCCAAAATACACTCCGAGTTGAATAATAAATGACACTGGGCTTAAATGACAGGAAATAGACTCAATACAATTGCCTGGGCATCTGTGTCCACCCAGCCTTTGTCCACTCATTCTGCTGCTATAACACCACGCCAGACTTCCCTCTGTATTCTCAGAGCCGACTAAGGGGCCATCTGTATGGGGAAAGTCAGTGCAGAAAAGCTGGCTTCCCTGGGACAGCCTGAGGCTGGTTAATTCAGTCAAGCCAGAGCTTGGCAGACCAGACCCCACACTGCTCATCAGATAAGACAAAATTGCAACTGGATCCAATTCCAGGGTTCTTTAGATTCATATTTAGAACCATATTCATTAGACAACTGCATAAGATATCCCACAGAACTTGGGGCCCAGAAATTTACAGAAGAGAAAGTTTCACGACGGAAAAGTAAAGCATAACAAAGTTATTGAGAGAATAAACTTTGGAGGCCAGTCAGAGGGCAGGGTTAATTTTGGCTCCACCTTTACCAGCTATATGATTGCTGCGGTTACCACCCATGCTTTCTTTAAACATCAGTTTCCTTTTTCACCTGCATTGTTTCCAATTTGCTCATTCTTGTATTGCAGGCCTGCTACACTATCTGGCATGTAGTAAGTGCCGAGGAGCAAAGGGATGAATGAAGACTTTTCTGAAGTCATTTTTACTGTTTGGCACAGCTTTGGATTTAAGAGCCAGGATGCACATAGAACCATCTCTGTCTCCTCACCCCCTCCTCACCCCTGGGATTCTGTCGTGGTCTCTATGGGGACAACCTCTCAATGAGGAAGAGAAGAACTTCATCAGGAGGTGGTCTGCTCCACTGGGATGCCCAGCTGGGAGGTTAGGCACCACATTTCAGCTTGTTTTCTGCAGGCCAGCTGTCTTCCCCAAATAATTCACAGTGCACAGCCAGGACTTCTTGCTTTGATAGATTTCATATATTGATATATTTATAAAATTTTACATGTGTAGAATTTTGAACCATTTGTTTTCTTTCACTTTAGAAGATGACCCTCAGGTAAGTATGAGCATATATACTCCCATGTGCATAGATGTATGTAATTTTTTTCTGTCTTATTTTAAATTACAAGCTGATCTGAAAGAACTACATTGTTCCCGATATAGATAGGCTCTGGTGAGAGTTCTCCTCCTTGTTTGTACCTTTTTTTTTTTTTTTTTTTTTTTTTTTTTTATGTCCTCACAGGACATGCAGGAGATGAGGAGGTGGAATATGCCTGCCGGTCTCTCTTTTTACAGGGATATGGATCTTATCATAAGGCCTATCCTCATGGTTCCATCTAATTTTAAGTACCCTATAAAGGTCCATCTCCAAATACTCTCACATCAAGGATGCAGGGCTCAACATATGAACAACACAGGAACAAAATTCAGTCGATGGAAAATGTTTTGCAGTTGATTCTCTTCACAGTTTTCCTCCAAGATCAGGCAAGTTATTTGGTGAAACATGGAAAACTGTTGTCACCACGACACATTTCTCTTACCTTCCTGGAATAGTCAATTTATTTTAAGAAAGGATGTACAGGAAATTTTACCTTCTAGTAGTTTAGAAATATTGTTCTTTGGAGCTAGAGCACATTATATTACATATTCACCAATTATCGGTTCACTTTCTAACAAAGTAAGTATATTTCCACCACATTATGTTTGATTTGGTTGTGTGTTTTGCTTTGGTCAACAGAATGGGAGCAGGTGTGAGGAATTCTGCATCTGAGCAAAATCTTACAAAGTATTTGTGATTTTTTCTTTGGATCTTTTGTGATTACCCTAATTTGAGAAAAGTGTGACCAAGATAGTGGTTACTTCTTCCACTGGGGTTCCAAATTGAGAAAATTCAGAAAGCACAGCTGAATAGAACCTTGTTGGAGCTATGGTGGCCTTCAGATCTTAGGTAAACTGAGTACTTTTAACTTACTACAAGTTTAGTAGCTAAACACAATTTACTGTCTTATGGTTCCATGCCATTAAAGTGTGACACACATTTCACGGAACCAACACCAAGACATTGGCAACATTGTGGTCTCTTGGTAAAGCTTTAGGAGAGAATGTATTTCTTTGCCTATTCTAGCTTCTAGAAGCTGCTTACATTCCTAGGATTGTGTCTCCCTCCATCATTATCAAACTCAGTGAAACTGCGTATCTCTACCATTCGTCCACAGTGACATCATCCAGAGTGCTTTTCCTGCCATCCTATTTTACTTTTCAGAATTAGTTTATCCGGTTAGTTTAGGATGATATGCTTTAGACCAAGCTGATTAGGAAACTTAATTTGACAATGATCTATTTTTAACATATTCTCAAGTTCTATAAATTAAGACATGAACATTTTCAGGCCATTATTATACAGTATACATACATTGTGATATAGCTCTTGGAGAAGCTTTGGTGTAGAATCTGTTTCTTTTTCTATTCTAGCTTCTAGAAACTGCTCACATTCCTTGGATTGTGGCTCCTTCCGAAATCCCAAAAGCTAGTGGAACTGCATGTACTATGCCGAGGAATATGTAATATAAATATTATAATCAGGGAATGTAACAAAATGATGCTGCCCTGAAGACCAAGATCAAGAAATTGCTTTTTAAAATGAACATATTATAGCAAATACCTGTAGTTGCAACCTGCTTTTAGGTGTAAGAATTTGGAAAGTCTTTTGATTTCTTTTATTCTTAGTTTACTATTAAATTTTTACAATTATAACATGAAAATGATAACCAGCACTATTTATCTCTCAAGATTATTGAGTAAATCATAATGTAATGATTCAATAATTTTGAAAACACACAAACATACAATCCATTCTTTATTTCTCTGTAATGATATGTATACACTACCAACATTTGATAATAGAGTCAAAAGATTCATCATTCTCCTGAATTACTTTAAGTGGCTCACATTTTAAGAATCTGTAAATACACATCTGTAACCATCTTGTGAATATAGATTAGGCTAATTTGCTTGACTGTTGTAAGAGTAATAAAATTTCTAGAAATATAAACATTCTTCATTTCTTTTTTTTTTTTTTTTTTGTCTTTTTATCGGTACTGGGGACCGAACTCACAACTGCCTGTTTGCAAGGCAGGCGCTTATGCCGCTGAGCTAAATCCCCAGCCCCACTATTCACAACTTTTAAAACTTTTTCAGTTATTCAGTCATAAGTGTGAAATTATGGTACAAATTTCCAGTGACTTAAAGTTCTCTGGGAACAATTATGTGTATGCTTGTGCACATTTTTCTTCTATACCATAAATATTTTCTTATACTTAATCTTCCATATCATAACAGAAGGATCCTGATGATTTTAACTTTTCAGTCATAAAAGAATTTCAAGAGGAAACCTCCAATGGAATGGAATGGCCATGTGCAAGTGCTTTTTCCTTATGTTTGAGGCTCTGCTTGGTATTCATTGCCTGACCATCTTGACTGATTTCAAAGCATCCTTGGCTAAGTAGTCATCTATCACTCCCAATGGCAGATGGCAGCTCTTCTTCCTCCCTCAGCATCTGCAGAAAGGAAAATTTTATTTTATCATCCCACATATGCTCAAAATAGAGAAGGATGTTATAGATACTCAAAGAATTTGTTTCACTCTAACTTTTTTGTTCTTCTGTCAAATTTTATATATGCCTTACTATTTAGATATTCAATTAATTGCTCTCCAGTGTGTACACACCTGAATATAAACATGTACTACTATTTTTGAATAATCTATGATACAGCCTCAGCAAAAGAACCATATTTTAATGTGCTATTTTCTAGAGATCCCAAAGTTGTCCTTTGTAAAGCTGCTTTTTCTTTTTCAGCAAAGTTATGCAATTCAAGAAAACCATCACTTTTGAAGTATATTTTCCAGTTTCCAGATAGGAGCTTATAATCATTTCATGAATTTGTAATTACTGTATACTGTGCTAAACACAAACATAAAAACTAGTCTAACAAACATAATGCTAAGAAATAAAAAAAATGTCTTACGATACAAGTTTACAAGAAGAATGAGAACTGAATGTATATTCATACAGGATAAGGTAATGGGAGTAAAAAGGATTGGCTTCTCTGAGATGGAAATTATTTTGAAAATCAAGCTCTAATGAAATGAAAGATATATTCGCCTTGCCTAGATTTTGCCTATGAAATTAAATATTTTGAAATACTTTTTGTTCTGAAGTTCAATTTGGCATGATATTATGATTGTCCCACTTCTTGATTTATCTTTGTAGAGAGTAGCATCCAGAAGTGATAGAATAAGCTATTAAGCACAATAAGTTTTAACTAAATTAAAATCACAAGCATATACAACAATTCATATTTTGCAAAATGCATCAATGAGAGCTTTTACATGAGACACAGAATTATCTGAGGAGGAATGACGTTTGGGAGTAACAAATGATAAAAAGGAAATGGATAAATAAATGAACTAAACAAAAGGCATATTTAATATGACATGAATTAAGGAAGATGATTAACTAGAACTTTTATACCAGAGTTCAAAAATATTAATTTGTTTTCATCTTAGCTTCTTTGGAGACAGTAGCTCAATTTGAGATGCAAACTGTAATAAACCAAAGAGCTTTAAAAAATACCCTCATTTGTCCTTAGCTTTTCTGACTTAATAAGTCTGAAGTAGAAATTAGGGATGCATATATTTTATGATGAAACATGATGAGATGAACACATCTATGTACCTATAATTCTTGGCAAGACACACAACATTACCAGCAACCCTGATGCTCCTCATTGGACATTGGTACTTGCAAAAGCTTTAAGAGTGATCGTGATGTTTGTGCAAGAGCAGAACCACTCTTCTAGCTGGTAACTAGGCTGCTATACTCTCATGGCACTTTTTTTTTTGCATTTCTCTTATTTTGCAAATTTTCTAACGCAATTTACTCATAGTGGGTAAGGGCACCTTGTAATTTCTTGGTCTCTCTACATTAAAAATGTGTTTATTTTCCTCAAATTTGATTGATAGATTAACTATCCATGAAATTTTTATTTAAAGTCATTTTCCAATTCACATATGGTAGCATTTTTCAACACCTTTGAGTTTCAGTTTTGCTGAAATCAGCTTGGTTATATTTGGTGTTATGTATCCACCTGATTTTTATGAGCCCATGTTTGTTATGCAGATTAATGAGTTTCATTTTGGCAAATTCACACATGCACAGAGCACATGTTTATCATTTATTCCCACCATTACCCCCTTTCCCTGCCCTCCCTTAGTTGTACATGTTTCCTTTGTGTGTGTGTGTGGATGTGCATATTGTGTTTTAGAGGGACTATTATTAGACCAGGGAAAGTGGTAGACGAGGGAGGGGTAAGAGAAGCTAATGTAGGGCATTCACATATCTTTTCGAATTATCTTTTCTCTGAAAGAAATGATCATGCTTGAAGTATAGAAGTTTCACAAGAATTATCAATTACTAGTTATATACTCTGCTCAGCATTGAATAGTCTTTCAATCTAAATTTTTATGTTACTTAACTCATTTCTTCCTCCCTTCTTTTAAATCCTCCCATAATGCTCCTTAGATTAATACCCTAGTCTAGTTGTATTGGCCCTCCAAAACTGAACCGCATATTGTAACTATACATAACAAATATGGGTGTATTATTTTTATAAATATTCATACTGTTTATTCTGAGAAATTTCTTACACACAGTGTTTCCCATACTAAGCTTAGCATTGCTTTATTAATCTCTTACTAAGTGCATTGACTGATTTTTTTGTAAGTGCAATTAAAATTTTAATTTCTGCAAACTGTTATTCTCTGGTGGTTCCTTTTTTGTAACAGCCTATCCTTGTTTTATGGATCCAATATCATTTTAAAGTTGTGGAGGGAACTAACTGGTATATTTTTAACTTACAATTTGGTTCTTAAATTATTTCTTTTCTCTGGGGTTAATTTTTTTTTTTTTTCATTTTGATTCTTTCTATAGATGTTATTGGTTCTCTTCTACCATGTATCGATCCTTCTCTACTGATTTGCAGTTTTTAAGGAAGGATTAGAATGAGTAGTAGAGGTACATATATTATGTTTCTGACAGAATCTTCATTAGGAGAGGTATAGTTTTTACATGAGCGAGGGGCTCGTATCGAGTAAGCATCACTCTGTAGGTCACTGAGTATAAAAAATGGAATGTTTTGGGTGACTTGAGACTTTTTAAATGAGAAACAGTAAAGATGCCTTTACTCCAGGATTAAGATTCCCCACTGTCTATTGCTCCTCTTTCCTTTGTGTCCCCAGTAACTGCTATCCATATCCTAATTGCTTCTCACTCTGTCCTTAGCTTCTGTCCTGAGCTCCTGTAGACACACAGACTTCTACCTAGGCAGATCAAAACCACTTTTACAAAGTTATTTTGTTCCAGTTTGGCTTATTTAATTAAAACAGTGTTGTACATCTTTAAATTAAATGATCCACTCCTGTTTTCTACGTTTGCTGGCTGAAATTTGAAGCTATTCCTCTGTGGTCTTGGTTAATACTTCATTTGTCATTTGAAGATAAGCCACATCCTTTGCTCTCTTTTCCCCTCAGTGAATCTTATTTATTCACTAAAATTCCCCAAATTTTGTAGTGTTCTGCTTGGTCTCTTTTCTTTCCCCAACACTGTTTTTTTGTTATAGAATATTTCAGTGGATATTAAAAGGAAATGGAGAGTTAATTACATTAAATTTGACATCACCTATGAAAAATTCCTAAGAATATGACAGGTTTTTATTATGTAAATAGAAAATGCATTTACATATTAATAAATGGAAGTACATCAGTAAATATCTTGTTTTTTTTTTTTTTTTTTTTTTTTTGTATCAAGAATTAAACTCAGGACCTTGTGCTTGCCAGACAGGTGCTATGCCGACGAGCTACATCCCTGACCTTACTTATATCAGTAAATAGATCCAGTAAATTTATGATTTTGAGTAAGGTAAGATTTTACAAAAAGAAAACAATGGTGAAAATAAATGTGATAATATAATAATTCAAATGAGGAATTTGGAGTTATTAAAATAAACAAAGCTAAGATATATTCATAATTGCAGTCTTGTGTGCTGTCAATATGCTTGCAGATAGAAAGACTAATATCTCACATACATGCATCTATCCATCTGTGCATCTCTTTTGTTTTATCCTGTTTTTCATTTATCATTAGATTAATAAGAAAATTAGATCATTAAATTAATAAGAAAATAAAGAAAACAAATCTTAAAGAAAACTAAGAGCAACAACTAGGTTTCTTAGACTCCCAAGTAAAGCAAGAGATGACCATGAAACTACTTAACTCGGTATTTAAATTTTGATACAGATTTGTCACTGTCTTTCATCATGAGCCCCTTACAATATTCTGCTGAAACCTGAAAATACTTTCATGAAATATAAATTATAAATACCCACAATAAAGCACATGCTTATATAGAAAACCAAGGATAGTGAAACAGACAAGAGGTGGCAATAAGTTGACAAACACATCTTTATATATATTTCAAAATGCTGGTACATGACCCTTTGTTTGGTTAGTCATATTATGGGACAATCAGATTATTGTTCTTTTGCAAGAATAATTTTTAAAAAAATAGTATTGCTATCTTTCTTAGCTTGATTTTTCTTCTATCTTTAAATAATCTGGATTCATTCTTTTCTTCTATCATCTTAAATAAGAATATTACCTTATTAATATTATCACAGCTTTTCTTCTTTTCAACTATAAAAATGCTAAGGTATTAGTACCCTGCTAACTGATACTTTATTGCATCTCATTCTTTTTTGATATATAGTAATTTTATTAGCACTGGTTCAATGTATTTTCTAATTTACTTAAAACTTTTCTGCATGGTGAATTATTAAGTGAATGAGCGATTGAAATTATTTTTAACTGATTTTCAAATACATATTTCTGACAAAATAGAAAAAGTAGTTATTATGTCATAATGTTTTGAAATTTATAGATGATAATTTTATGGACTATTATTAAGTTACCAACTTTTGAAAATATATCATAGGCTTGAAAAGAGTATAATAGTCTCAGTTTTGGAGTATATTTTATATGTAGGACATGTTTATTATGTTATTTAAATCTTAGAGATCCTCATTAATATTTTGTTTGTTGTAGAAATTATTGAAAGAGCTATATTAAAATCTCATTTCACAATAGTGAATTTACCAATTTCATCATGCAGCCTTTTGAGTTTCTACTTTACATACTCAGAAAATACATTATTGCATGGAGTTAGAATTTTACGTATATAGCACTGGTGAATTTGAATTTTTATCATTATATAAAGACTTCTTTATACTTTAAGCCATACAAGCATAATTATGATGCAATCTTCAGCCTCAAATTTAATTAGAACTGTTCTTTCACCTCACAGGCCTTTTCTGCTTAAATTTGGTACTTTCTTTGGCAATCATGCCTTCCTGAAGCCCAGGCTTCCCTTTTGAAACCCTATAGGTAATGTGTGGCCCTTAGCTAATGTAAATAGTTAATTGGTTTCCAAATCTAAATGAAGG